GTCCCCTCTAACACACACGCCCAAAACCAGGGCTGATTATCCCCCTTGGCTGATGCTATCGCCCCATCAGGGTTCTGAGGGCGGCGTGGAGCTGGTTTAGTTGGATCTCCCTCTTCCTCTCGTGCTGGGACAGGGGATGCCAAAGGCCTGGTAGTGGTTTGGTCCCCTCCCTGCAGCCTCCAGTGGGACGGGGGGCTCAGCCCCGTGGCCCCCGTGGCACATGACAGCAGTCACGATTCCCAGTTCTCTCGAGCTCACTGGAGCTTTACTAAGCCAACCCCACAGAGACCCCCTGCCATTCCTGGGGGACGCCTCTCCCCCCATCCCAGTCCCCTTTACCCGCAGCCTCTCCGAGCAGCCAAACAAAATTCCTGCTGCTCCCTCCTGGCTGGAGCTGCCTCCCCCTTCCCGGCTGGGAGGCAGATCCATGGTAGGAGATCCACGGCAGTGACCAGCATGTACTGGTGGAGACCAGGATACCCCGTGGTGTGTCCTCAGATTTCCAGCCCCAGGACACCCCTCCCACTGCCTCCAGGGATCCCAAAGCCCCGGCACCTGGGGCCCCCCGCTCGCCGCCAGCCCTGGCTCTCCTTCAAAGCCATTCCTTCGCTAAGAGGAGTTGGCAAAAGCCACAGGACCAGCTGGAAACCGCCTTTATTCCAGGCGGGAGAAGGGGGACGAAGGCACCCCCCGCCACCTCCGCCCTTCCCACAAACGCTGCCAGGGATATTGGGGGGAGCCTAAAAATACTCCCCTGGCTTTAATCTCGGGGAACCTCCCCGAGTCCCATCGGAGCTGGCTGCAGCACAGGAACTCGACAGCGGATGAAGATGTGGGGCTGATGCTCTGGGGGGATGCCCTGGCCCCTGGGAAGGGAGTGTCTACTCTGGATCCAGGGGGAAAAAGAAGGATGCCCTGGTCCCAGGAGGGGCAGAGGGGAATGCCCAGATCATCGGACTGGGGGATGTTCTGGCCCCAGGGATGCAGGGGGACGCCCCGGCTCCGGGGAGATGGGGGGATATCCCAGCCCCGGGAGGCACGTGGAGCTTTAAAGGAGGCTTTAAAAAAAGCCTGTTGCCCATTTCTACAGGCTTTGCCCCCCCAGAAAAAACGCACGCTGGGGCAGCTGGCTAATGCAAACAACTTCCCTACCCGAGGGTCCCAAAGCACCTGCCTTAGGGTGTCGGGGTGAAGGGGAGGAACCCCAAAAAAACAGAAACCCGAGGGAGGCGCAAGCATCAAGGGATCAGCACCTACGAGTGCGGGGGGGTGTTCCCAGGTGGGGTG